GCCCACATTCTCACTGTCCCCCCCCCCCCCCCAAACATAAAAATGCTGTTATGAAGCGACCAAGTCAGATCTGAACTCAATTGAGTTATTCTTAAAGGACGAATTCACGATGAAAAAGCAACCCATTTCAAATTAACCTAGGGATGGTGAGTGGTACACGAAAGAAGGAAGAACCATGAGAAACGGCCCAGAACCCGAGAAATGGGACCCCTTCCTTGCCCGTTGATTCGAGCATTGATGCGACTCTCATCGCTGTGCCCTCTTCAACACTACGCTCTCTCAGCTATCTAATCACTCGCCACGTATTGAACTACGGCGAGTGATCAGATGATCGGTGGGCGGAGATCGCCGGACCCGCCAGCTTTGAGGCATGATAGGTCGCCGAGGTCAAATTTTTCCATGCGAATTGCGCGTCAGTTCGCACCCTCAGGAGGTCCGTGGGTCCCTCAACTAGGTCAGTTTCCCTTTCTTCGACCTTCATTCTAATCGTGAATTCCTCCTTTAAATGCAGAGCTTCCAATTCGTGCCATCCACATTTTAGTGAAGAATTCCACCAAACAATTCGATTCACAAAGTCTACGCTTTAACTTAAAAGTTCAGATTTGGTGTTCAACTCCAACAAAAAACGATACATTATCACCATCGATCAATTACTGATTTCTCGTGTGATTTCGACAGCTTTTTTTCTGAATTCGCTTCGGAATTGTAGAGCTTCCAAACCTTTGATGCGCCGTTTTTTTTTTCAAAAAATTAGTATTGATAGCGTAGTGATTTGGTTGGTTGTTTATTGCTTGGGCCAGGTCAAAACAATAAAGTTTCCACTTCTAATCGCTGCTGCACTCATGAGCAGGGGCATTACTTCAATAGTCGCCAATGCAGTTTGAAATATATTGGACTAAGAAGAACTGTAGGTTAAGTTATTGCAAGAGTCACCCTACATTTACTTTCTCTGATGCCCCTGAGGAGCTCGGATCTGTTTTCAACATACCGCCTCTGGAGCACGGCAAAATCGTGTCGAGAACTTGGGCGCAGCAGTGACCCTCAAATCAAATTCGAATCAAAGTTGGAGGGGTCATAATATGACCTCACCAACTTTTGGAATGGAATTGGAATTCCATTATATGTACTTTAAGGTATGCAGTTTCAGCGCGGTTTATCTTTGGGTCACATTATCTGTAGCCCCGTCCCAAACCTTCGAAATCTTCATTCCCTTTGAAAAGCTATCATTCCTCCATTTCATAACTTTTTGAACAGGTTGTGGTAGACTTAGATAGAGCTAGGTCCCCTGTTACCAAGTAGCATTGTAGGTGTTCTGAAAGTCTCCATTCGGAGAGACGATGTCTCTCAAACTGCGTCGAGTCAGCGTCGATGACGTTAAAATTCTCATGAGAGTTTTTACTATTTAAAAGACAACATCTCTCGTCAAACCTTGCGTATCGCATCGCGCGGATGTGCTCGTTACTGTCCCCCTATTACTCCCCGTGGCGCAGACGCCC